AGAACAATACGCTTCTCTGTATTCTCCACAGGCTTTGAGGCCACAGCCTGACTCCCCACCTCTAGGCAAGTGTCCGCCTTCCTTCTGCGGTCCTGCCTCTCTCTCAGAGCATCTGCAGTTAAAAGTCAGGGAAACTTCCATCTCTGATTCCAGGTCAGGATCCTCATGGCACAGGAAAATTGTTAAGTTGAGAAGAGATCACAGAGCTCAGTCCTGGTGCCACATTGGTTGAGGTCCTAGCTCAATGCCCCTAATCCTGGCACTCGGGAGACAGAGGCTGAAGGAGTCTAAGGTCAGGCTGGTCTGTCTCAGGAAAAAAACCAAAAAAAAAAAAAAAAAACAACAAAAACAGAAGAGGGTTTCACCCAGATAGCTACACACATTTTCCTAGAATCTCTTGTACAGAGGCAGAGCTATTACTGACTAGCATGGTCACTCAGGCTGAAAATGTGTATATACTGTCGGTAGTAAAGGCAACAGGGTCCTACTGGACTCAAAGCATCCTCAGCCAAACCACAGGCATCAAGACAGGTAACTTTTTTTGTTTATTTGTTTTTGTTTCTTGAGACAGGGTTTCTCTGTGTAAGAGTCCTGACTGTCCTGGAACTCACCTTGTAGACCAGGCTGGCCTAAAACTCACTGAGAACCAATTGCCTCTGCCTCCGAAATGCTGGTATTAAATGTGTGCACCACTACTGCCTGGCATAAGATAGGCAACTTTAAGTGGCACATTAGCTAAAAATAATTTCTTTCAGCATCATTAACAATAACATCGTGCTATTTTTATATGTGACTACAGCTTTCACACACGTGTTTTCTCGTTTAGTTTTTATGACAATCTATGAATAGATAAGCTGGGTTCTGTTATTAGTCCAGACTTCATAGAGGGGAAAGCTGAAGCTTAATGTGCTCAAGGTCACATGCCTCTCAGAAGGCAAAGCTGTGTACTTTCCATGTATCTCCAGGCACACTGCCCACCCAGCAACAACAGCAAGTCTTAGGTACTACGAGGGGATTCCCAGCCAGATAACCACATGTGTTGCTACTTTGTACCTTAAGACCCTAGGGATAGGGCTCCATGATGGCTTGTGTCTGAAGAAGGGAGTCCCTAGGTACTCATTTTCCTCCCTCTTACTAGCTGCCATTTAATCAAATATGTAAAATGGGAGTAGAGATGGTTTATCTTGCAGAGGATGTGGGTTCACTTCCTAACACCTCCATGGTAGCCAGCTCCAATTCCAGGGGATTCCTCTTCTTAACTTCCTGGGTACCAGGTGCACACCTATGCAGACGAAACCCGGATAGACACAATAAATACAAACAATCTTAAAAATCTATACAATGGCTACACCAAGACAATACCAAAGACAGTCTGAGAAACCTTTCCAATCATCAGAGGACATTTTAAAAGCCTAATCCGGAAGCTCTGTTTAGTGGCCCTGTTTCCCAAGCAGAGATGTAGGGAGACTTATAGACAATCAAACACATTTAATGTAATCATCATAGTACTGATGACTGCTAACCCTAATGCCTGTCGAAGTCATGTCTGATCAGTTTGTCCAATCCCATAGGTATGTACTTCCTGTTTGGAGAGTCTGGAATAGCTAGTAGGTACACTCAGCGTGGGGACCCTGGGCCTGGCTGGGAGACATGAGTAGATGAAAATACAGAGATCAAATCAGGAAGGATTCTGGTTTTGGAGATTCTAGGTTTGAAGTTCACAGAGCACTTGTCTTGGGAGTCCAGAGTTTCCAGCCACACCTCAGTCCTCATCTTACCCAATAGGTCATGCCCTGTTTCTTCATTGTCTCAATACCCAAGAACCAGCTCACCCATGATGGCATGAAACAACAGCCAGAAAGTGCTGGAATGTAGCCAGAGTTGTTTAGGTGGTGCTCACCGCATCTTGCTTATGGGCTCATCCCACAGCATGTAATGAATACCTACTGTGTACAAGGTAAGATGGGTAGTCACAGAGTACACGTGGTAGAGGGTCCACCTTCTGGACACCCAGGATGAGAGCAGGAGGCGGAAATTCCCTCAGGAACAGTGTGGGAGTGAGCAAAGCCAAGCCAAAGTTTAAAGGTCAGAAGGGCATCATCGATGAGAAAGGACAGTGTGGAACAATGTGGCAGAACCAGGATATGATGGCTAGAGAGCAGCCAGGCATGTAACAGTTGTGAATGGAACAGAGATGAGTAAACCATGAATCGGAGGGGAGGAAAGACAAAGGCCAGACTTTCAGGAAATGGTTGCCATGACGACACACCGGAGACAGACAGCTTCAGATTCCTTCCTGGGTTCTGCCTTTATGCACTTCCTTTAAGGATAACAGCTCACAGGAGAACTCAGTTTAACATGTTGTTTAAGTCAACACCCAACCAGACTTAACCTTATTATGTAGCCCAGGCAAGATGAGACTCTCAATCCCCCTGCCTCAGTCAGTGCAGAGGTTACAGACACTCTGGGCAAGAAAGAAGCTTTTGAATAAATTTACCAGAATTTCTCAGTTTTTTTGTACACAAGATATATAGTAACAGTGCTGAGATAGCCCACACCTGTAATCCCAGCACGGGAAGGTAGAGGCAAGGGCATCAGTAATCTAAGGTCATTCTTGACTACACAGCAGACACATACAAACACATACTCACGGGTAACAGTACCTGACTAGAAATCCAAGGACAAGGGGCCCAGGAGGTGACTCGGTGTTTAAGCTGCTCTTCCGGGAGACCCAGGCTTGATTTTCAGCATCTAGTGGCCACTTCCTGTAAATTCAGTCCCAGGGGGTCTGTCACCCTCCTCTGGCTTCTGTAGGCGCCAGGCATACACACAGTGCATGACAACATACATGCAGACAAAACACCCACACACATAAAATAAAGATAAGCAAATCTTAAGAAAGAGGAGACTGAGGAGGAGGAGGAGGGTGCAAACAGGGTCCCTCTGTAGCTGTAAGATTTGAGGGAAATCTACTGGGTGTATTTGTCTTTCCTTCTTCCAGAAGCAGGGACCCCAGTTTTTCAGGGTGTTCTCAGCCCCTGAGCTCCAGTAAGAAGGCCCAGCGGGAGTGGTATGTGCAGGCCATCACAGCTGGCTTTAGGACTCTCTGTGTATCTAAAAATAGACTGACAGTCCCCATCTTACCGGGTTACCTCAAGGACAGAGTGATATAGTGTGCACAAACCCCTCACAACCTCCCCAGGCAGAGTAAATGCTACATACATGTCTGTCAGTAAATTATTGCTTTGGTGCTGGGGATCAAACCCAGGGCTTTGATGGGGACATGCTAAGCCCTGCCACTCAGCTTGGCCACTGAGTATACCCTGAGGATATGCTGTTTCTATTATTAAGATTTACTTTTATTTTATGTTTGAGTGTTTGCCTGGATGTATATAAGTTCACCATATGGTATCTGTGCCCAAGGAGGCCAGAAGAGGGTGTGGATCTCCTACAACTACAGTTGCAGACAGCTGTGACCTTCCATGTGGGACTGACCATGAGTGCTGGGCAAGAGAAGTCAGTGCTCTTAACTGATGAGCCATCTCTGAAGCTCATTATTAAACCAGTATGTATTTTATTTTTCTTAGCCAGGTGGTGATGGCGCACGCCTTTAAACCTAGCACTCTGGAGGCAGAGGCAGGCGGATCTCTATGAGTTTGAGGCCAGCCTGATCTACATAGTGAGTTTCAGGACAGTCAGGGTTACATAGAGAAACCCTCCCACCCAACTTCATTTCTTCTTCTTCAGATCTATTTTCTTCTTAATTATGTGTGTAATGTGTGTCTGTGTGCACATGTGGGGTTGTGCATGTGTGAATCCAGAAGGTGTTGGATTCCTTAAAGTCACAGGAGAGTGTGAGCTGCCTGTTGTGGGTGCTGGCAATTGAACTCAAGTCCTCTGCAAGAGCAGTATGCACTCTTCTTTTTGGGGGGAGGTGGGGTGTTGAGACAGGGTTTCTCTATGTAGCCCTAGGCGTCCTGAAACTCACTTTGTAAATAAGGCTGGTCTCAAACTCAGAAATCTGCCTGCCTCTGCCTCCTAAATCTTGGGACTAAAGGTCTGTGTTACCACACCTGGCTTTTTTTTTTTTTTATAACCCCGAATATAACACCTCTGTAAGAGGTGGGGCCTGGAAAGTACATACACACACACACACACCACATACATACACACATCATACTCACATGCACAAACACACACACATACACACACACACATACCACACATCCATACACACACATACACACACCACACACACACATACACACACACCACACACACATACCACACATATACACACACCCATACACATACCACACACACACACACACCCATACACACACACACACACACCACATATACACACACCCATGCACATACACACACCCATACACACACACACACCACACACACACATACAGATACACACCACACACACATCAATACTGGAATTTTGGATGGCTTGACCTTGTGTAGGTAGCCATGCTTTGACTTCATGACTGAGCCACGTCACACCCAGGAGACAGCACTTCACTGCCCCATCCCATCGTCTTGAGTCCTGGCGGGGGAGGGGGGTGGGGGTTGGGGGAGGGGATGACTTAATAAAGAAGACCCACGGCGGTGCTGAGCCCTCACTCAGTCTCCTGTCCTCAGCACCTCGACCAGGAATCATCTCCGCACTGACAGTGGCCCGCTGCAGTTGATCCACTGATCTCTGAGATCAACCCAAGTCTGTGTGCAAACATCCAACTCCAGAGGGCAATTTGACAGCATGGCCATTTAGTAGCCTAATAAGAGCAGGCTCCACAGCAAGGTCTGTGGCCTCCTGGCTGCGTGGGCTTTCCACCAGGAAGCTGTTATTTACCCTGTAGGCAGAGCTTGCCTGGCATGTTGGTATTGTAACATGCAGAGTATGCATGCAGCACTGGCCCACTGATATTGTCTCTGCCGTAGAGTGCATGGCCCTTTCTGGAAGCTAGCCAGCAAAGAAAGGACTTTCTGTGCTCGCTTCAGCAACACATACTAAAATTGGATCAAGTCAGAGAAAATTAGCATGGCCCCTGTGCATGGATGACATGTAAATTCATGAAGCATTCCATATTTTTGAAGAATACAAAAAGAAAGAGGATGTTCTGTTTTGAACACAAAGTCTGATCTGCCTTTGTTGTCTGTTTGGGCCTTATGGTATAAGACAGCCTTGGTTAGCCTGGTTATATTATATATTTGGATCTTCCTGACTACAATTTCAAGTTCTGGGATTATGAGCACAGTACCATGTCCTATTTGGTCAACACTCTTTGTCTTCTATTTGCCCCTCCCCAGAGATGCTTTGGAGTGAACATCTACTTCTTGCATGATTTTCTTAGCTTGTTTTTTAAAGACAGGGTCTCAGCTCTGACCCGGGCTGGCCTGGTACTCACTGTGTAGCCTAGACTGGTTTTGGGGCAATCCTCTTGTCTCCAGCTTCCAAATACTGGGATAGCAGGCATGAACACCAGGTCCAGCCTTTTCTATTTTCCTTTTTGGTTTTCAAAGACAGGGTTTCTCGGTGTAGCTCTGTCTTTCCTGGAACTCACTTTGTAGACCAGGCTGACCTTGAACTCACAGAGATCTTCCTGCCTTTGCCTCCTGAGTGCTGGGATTAAAGGAGTGTGCCACCAGGTCTGGTTTTGGCCCAGTACTTATATAATCTTTCTTAAAAAAAAAAAAAAAAAGAAAGAAAGAAAGAAAAAAAAAAAAAAAAAAAAAAAACAACAACAACAATAAAACCCTTTTTATGTTCAAGATGGGGTTCACAAATTTAATCTTAGCCTTCATCAGTTGCTGGGGCATCAGAAAGTTCCCTAGACCACCAAGTCCAGGGAGGTGACAGCTGTGGATCTCTTTGGTGCTCGACCTTCTCTTAATGGAAAGTACTATTTGTGACCTTCAGCTCACAGCAGTTACAAATGTCAAAGGCAGACCTTCCCTCCAGCAGCTCCCCTTCCGGGTAAAACCTGCCTGCCTGTCCTGCAGTCGCTGTCCTCACAGGCAAGGGGCTGGGACAGCCAGGGTCCCCACTGAAAGCACCTGGGCCTCAAACCCTTTCTCCACCCAGCACCCTTCAGGGAGGGGAGGCAGGCATCCTCCCTTGCCCTGGGCCGCCCAGGAAGGGGTTTTCCCTGAGAAGACAGCTCTATAAATACACCTCCAGGTCAGCACTGTGTATCCACAGCAGTCCTAGAGAAGCCACACCTCCAGAGAGGGCCTTAACCATTACCTTCCCAAGCTCTTCAGGAAGCAACTCAGACCCAGGATCTGAGCTGGGCTAAGGAGAGGCCCTAGTGGAGGTTGTCCTGTTTTGTGATAGCTTTGGGGGCTTTTGGTTTTGTTTTTTGGTAGTTTTTTTTTTTTTTTTTTTGAGTTTTTGCTTTTGGGTATTATTTTGTGGGTTTTGTTTTATTTTCCCAAAAAGGGTTTCTCTGTGTAGCCCTAGCTGTCTTGGAACTTGCTCTATAGACCCGTCTGGCCTCGAACTCACAGTAACCTGCCTGTCTCTCTGCCTTTGCCTCCAATTTCTGGGATCAAAGGTGTATACCTCTACCATCCAACACACTTTATGATTTCAAAATTTGTTTTGGGTGTTTTTAGTGACATGTCAAATTCTGAATTAAGAGTATTTTATAACTCAACAAAAAGAGTTATGGTGGAGGCTTGGCTGGGGAGACAGCTACAGCTATGAGTTTGTTCCGCGGGATGGTGGTGGCATAGGCTTTTAATCCAGCGCTTGGGAGGCGGAGGCAGAAGATCTCTGTGAGTTTGAGGCCAACCTGGTCTACAGAGCTAGTTCCAGGACAGCCAGAGCTGTTACACAGAGAAACTTTGTCTCGAAACAAACAAACAAAAAAAGAGTGTTTATTGCTCTGCAGAAGACCTGAGTTCAGTTCCCAGCTTCCAGATCACACATCTCACAACCACCATCTGTAATTCCAATTCCAAGAAATCTGACATTCTCTTTTGGCCTTCATGGGCATGTGCGCATGCACGCGCATGCACACACATACACACACTAAAAGAATTTAAAATAAAAAAAAAATCTTTAAAAGTAGCTCAACATGAGTCTTTAAAGGTGAGTTTTAAAAAAATACTAATTGCAATTATTTATTTAAGCTTTTTAAAATAGAGCTGGAGAGACAGTTCAATGGTTAAGAGTGCTTACTTCTCATGCAAAGGATCCAGGTTTGTTTCCTAACCACCACCGGGAATGTCAATTCCAGGGGCCCAATGGCCTCTTCTGTCCTCTGCAGGCACCAGGCACACACAGAATATCCATACATGCAAGCAAATACTCATACACATAAAATAAATATACTGAGAGGGGTGAGACAGGGTCTGTCTATGCAGCTCTGGTTGTCCTGGAATTCATTATGTAGGCCAGGCTAGCCTAGAATTTACAAAAATCCACCTGCTCTTACATATCGAGTGCTGGGATTAAAGGCAGGTGCCACCATGCCAGCTAATAAAAACAAGTCCTTAGAAAATAAAGTAGAACAAAGGTGTGTGCCGCGATACCCAGCTGCTTTTAAATTGTTTATGTGTGTGCAAGGGAGGTTGTTTGCCCATGAGTGCAGTGCCTGCAGGGGTGGTCAGATTCCTAGGCCCTAGACTCTGGTGCTAGGAACGGAACTTCTGTCCTCTGCAACAGCAATGTGTGCTTTTAACCGTGAGCCATGTCTCCAGCTCCCTGACCAAGGCAAATGGCATTATTCCTTCCCTTCCTGTTTCCTCTTTTCCCTCCCCATCCTGTTCCCTCCCCTCTTTTAAAGCCAAGCTTTCTCTCTTCCACGTCCTTTTAAAAAGTATTTTCTTATGTGTATACGTATTCCTCCAGTACATGTGTACATATGTACATGTGCCATGTGCATGCCTGGTGCCTGGGGGTCAGAAGAGAACGTTGGATCTCCTGGAACTGGACTACGTTTGTGAGCCACCTTGTGGGTGCTGGGAATAGAACCCAGGGTCCTTGCAAGTACTCCAAACCTCTCTGTCCTCTCTTGAGCCTCTTCCTCCAGGGTGACCTTAGCCTCCTAAATGCTAGGATCACATTTGTTACCACCAATTCACCTATTTCTTGTAACTCTGCAAACCACGATACGGAACATGAAAAACAAAAGTATGTAAGTAGAGCTTGTTCTGAGAGAATATCCAGTTTGTTGAGAAAACAAAACAAGCACATTACATTTCAAATAAGGTTAGAAATCCTGGCTTATCCCAGTACTGCAATCCCATACTGAGGGGCTAAAGCCAGAGGAGTTGAGTTTGGGGTCAGCTTGGGCTACATGGTGAGTTTCCATCAACCTGTCCTATAGTCATCACAGGGTCTGTCTCAATAACAAACAGTAGCATTCTGCCTTTTTCAGGGCTGGCAGTGGAAACTGGACTTCCTGTATGTAAAGCTCACCGAGTTACATCCCCAGCCCCAGCACTTTTACAGACACACCCATCATTGAGATAGCTCCTGCTTCCAAAGAGCCCCATGTTAACTCGGAAGTGGTCTGTGCTCACTGGCAGGGTCTGTGCTATGCAGACTGAGCACCTTTGGGATGCAAATTAGCTTCTATGCCCTCAGCAAGAGCTATCCAAAAAGTGTTAGTCAGGTCATCAAGGGCCTGGGTTGTTTTGTGGGGTCACAAGACAATGTTGCTAAAACGTCTACATTTGAGTGTTTTGACATTTTGGTTGTGCACTTGGCCTTTAATGGCTGAGCCATCTCTTTGACCGTGTTTGGGTGTTTTTATTTTTTTAGATCTTTCAAGATAGGGCTTCTCTGGAACTTACTGTGTAGCCAGGGCTATCCTAGAACTTACTGTGTACCCAGGCTGGCCTCAAACTCACAAAGATCCACCTGCCTCTATATCCCAAAGGCTGGGATAAAAGGTGTGCACCACCACTGCCCTGCTAAATACTTTATTTATCTATTTATTTATTTTAATTTGCACACACATGAGTGCTTGTAAAGATGAAAAGATGTTGGATCCTCCTGGACCTGATGTCACAGCAGTTGTGAGCCACTCCTGGGAATCAAACCTGGATCCTCTGGAAGAGCAGAAGAGTTGCCATCTCAGCAGCCCAGCTGTTTTTATTGTTGAGACTGGGATGGTCTCACTCTGTAGCTCAGTCTGCCCTAGAACTTGCTGAGTTTCCTAGGCTGGTCTTACTTGCAGTGTTCCTCCTGCCCCAGTGCTCCCCCCCACAAGTAATGAGATCAGAAGCATGCACTACTATGCCCTACGTGTTTTCAAAAAAATTTACAAGTTTGAACAGGTGTGGTGCATGTCTTTAATACCCACACTTCCAGAAGCAGAGGCAGGTGGATCTCTAAAGAGTGAGGTGTAGGCTGGCCACGACTTGATACTAGGACCCTGCCTCAAAAATGAACAACCAAGCCAGGAGGTGGTAGTGTATGCCTTTGATTCCAGCACTCAATAGGCAGAGGCAGGAGGATCTAGTGAGTTCAAGGCCAGCCTGGTCTACAAAGTGAGTTCCAGGACAACCAGACCTGTTACACAGAGAAACCCTGTCTGGAAAAAACAAAATGAACAACAACAACAAACAAACAAACAAACAAATAAATAAAGACATAGAAGCAGAATATAAATAGAATAAAAAGCATAAAAAGGTAAAACCTTTTTCATCCCTTCTTCCCTCTAGCACCCCTTCTGAGTCATTATTTCACATGAAGATGGACAAACATTTCCGAGCCTAATATACACATCAAAATCTCCCATTCTACAGACGACAATGCAGCGGTCAAGTTGAAGTACTCGTGAAACACCACAGAGTTGGCAAGCGCTCCTCCGCCTGAAATTCAAATCCAAATTTGTCTGACTCATAATTCAACGTGCATTCCTTCCCCTAAGCTCCGGGGTGTAAAATTTTATGGACGAAGAAACCGAGGCTCACAGACGTCCTCGGCCATCAGAGCCACACGATTCACTGCCCAGCATGGAAGAAGTAGAGGAGATGGCATGGGCTGCGTGGAGGAGAGGGCCTTGGGTTTGGTGGATCTGAGCTTGAGAAGAGCCACATGGGTCCAGCTTGTAAATCCCCCTTCTCCGAGTTTGCCGCTTGTCCATGTTCTTTGGGTACAAGCTCCACCCGAAGGCTGCTCTGCCAGGGTCGATGGGGTCCCAAACCCTGGGCTGGGGGCGGGAACGGTGCCCTCACGGCCTCTAGCCGTCGGGGGTGTCCGGGGTGGGCGGCTGCTGCCGGGCCGGCGCGTGGCGGGCGGGGCGCGGCGGCGCGGGGAGGAGCCTGCCACGGGCGGCGCTGTCCCCGGGCTCCCGGCCCTGGTGGCCGCCGAGGAGGGCAGCTGGAGAGAGCGGGCGCAGAGAAGGTAGAGGCTCCCCGACCCCCGCCTGGGCTCTGATGGTCACGGAACAGCGGACCCTGGGCCGAATTCCTGGGGAGGGGGTCTGGTCCTATCACCCGGGCGAGGGCTTGAGCCAAGATTCCTGATAAATCACATAGTGAAGTTGGAAAACATACGGGACCTCCCAGCAGCCGGCGCCGCCCGCTCCTCCCCGAGGGGCTTCGGGAGGATGCGCCCCGACGCCTGCACTCCGGGAGCGCTGGGATAGGGTGTCCGGGAGGGATGCGGGTGAGGGCTCTTTGCACAGCATAGTCTGTTGGGAGAGATTGGGGGAAAAGACAGACACCTGTTGGGGTCTAATTCTAACAGGACAGCAACTCTCTCTGCCAGCCCAACCCTTACTAGCGCTCCTTTCCCTCAGCAATGGCTCCTTTGCCCGAGGTGACACCTAGGGTGAAGGAGTTAGCTCTGTGCAGGTCACTTTCTTTGAAGTCAATGGCCCAGTGTGGGGTGTGACCAGGAGCAGCCTAGGCTGGTCCTTACTAGAGTCCACCTTGACTTCAGGGTGGCCACCTCCAACTTCTGCCTTCCTCACCCTTGGCACAGCAAGCATACATTTGTGCCCGGAGGGGGAGTCTCCTGCTCCCCTTTGCAGGGGAGGGTGGGGTGGACTTTTCCAGAGAGGGAGCCAGGCCTGGCCCTGGCCCCAGGAGCTCTCAACACCCCCCACCCCTCACTTCTCCAGAGAGTTGCCAAAGCCAGCTCAGGACAGGATTATGTGTACTGGGTAGACCACGGAGAGGCAGCAGGGACAGAGCTGGGGAGCACAGAGAAGCAGAGAGAGGTGGGGAGGGACCAGCATCGGGGAAGAGACACGTTGTGCCCATCTCCTCCTTCCAACCTCGAGGGGCAGGCAGGTGGAAGGTTGATAGGTTGAACATGGCTCCTTTTCTGTCGGGGCTGCGGTGGACCTCAGTGCCTGGCCCAGATGGCCCAGCCACTTTGTTCCCTTCTTCAAATTCCCAAGTCCTGGGGTCTCGGGGGTGGGGAAGAGCTAGCTTTGCTTTCTCTCTGTCCTTTGCCTGCCCTGAGCTGGCCTACCTTGGCAGCAAGCTTGGAGTCCTCTGGTGGTGACATTCAGATCCAACAGAAACAGTGCTTTTCTTGGAAAGCAGAACTGAAATGGAATGGAGGGGCGTGGGTGGGAGGGGTCCCAAAGGGAGGGAAGGGACTGGAGGGCAGGGGTTAGAGAGAGACAGGCTATGGAAGCCTGCTCTACCCAGCGTTCAAGGCTAGACTTGAGGGTGGACTTCCCAGGTGTACGGGAAGGAAAAGCTGGTGACTGGGAAGGATCAGCAGTTGTGGCTACATCTCTCCTTCCTAGGTGCCCAGCCATTTGGGCTGAACATCGGAAGAAAAAATAAAAAGAAGAAAACTAGCTGTACATGTACATGCACTAGGTTTCCATGAGCCAGTGCCTCGTGGATGCTGGCGCCCACAGGGAGGTTAAGTTGCCGCCTCTCCTCTAGAGATGAAGCCATTAGCCCATTTAGTTTATCCCTTGAACAAAAAAGTGCCTGTGGTAGCCCAGATCCACGAGACCATCCTTCATAAGGAGCTTTAGCTAAGAGAGGAAGAAAGGGCTGGGAGGCAGGTAGGAAACAAATACTCTTGGGTTTCTTTTTTTTTTTTTTTAGGGGGGAGTTTGTTTTATGTTTTGTTTTTTGAGATAGGGGTCTCATGTCACCCAGGCTGGCCTCAAACCCCTGATCCTTCTGCTCCCCATCCCAAAGAGTGGGTTAAGGCTTTTGCCCCACACACATGGTGTCAAGGGCCCTCTGGCTGGCCCCTCATAGGAGCACCTGGCATAGCCTGCCTCCTCTAGGTCCTGGAGCTCTGGGAGGAAGAATCTCCTGGTTCCCTCTGCCTAAGCACTGGCCCTCTTCAGGCCTCCAGAGGAGCTAAGTCCTTCTTGAGCCATAGGGAGGGACTAAACTGAACTGAAGACTGAGGTCAGACCCCCACCCTTGCCTCAGCAGATGACGAAGACAGTGTGCCTCTCTGCTCCCACCCTTAGGTCGTAGAGGGGTGGACCTGTCTTCCCTCCACTCTGCTGGTGCCGTGCTGGGAGCCCTTCAGTCTCCCGGCAATCTGGAGGGGTGACCACTACACTTCTTCCTCCTCAGAGCATCCCCTGTGCCCAGATGCCAGAGTAGCTATCCTGTTCCTCCCTCCCAGCCCAGGGGCAGTCAAGGGAAGCGCAATGGAGACCTGGCTGGGCAGGTAAGAGCAAGGGCTATCAGTCAGAGGGGCAGCTCTGTCTCTACAGTAAGAGCAGGGAAGGGGCAGTCGTGGCACACACTTTAAACTTGGGAGGTAGAGGCTAGTGGATCTCTGAGGTCGAGGCCAGCCTGGTCTACAGAGTGAGTTTCAGGACAGCCAGGGCTACACAGAGAAACCCTGCCTGGAAAACCAAAAAAGAAAAAGAGAAGGTAAGGGATTGTTAGAAGGGGCCTGGCAAGTGACAAGGAACTTCTGCTTCCTGAGAAACTGGCCACCAGGATGTGGGGCGCCTGGGTGGGGTGGGCAGTGTTGTAACACTTCTGGCTCCCTCTGACGTCCCCCACCCCCTTGATGTGCAGGCTCTGGCTGTGTGTGATGCTGCTTCTGCCTCTTCAGCTCTGCCAGAATCAGGAGGCGAGCCCTAGCCAAGTGAGCGACTGCTACCCTGCTCAGGGACCCTCCCCTCCACCCTGGCTACCCTATAGGGAGGCTTCACATTCCCACTGGGAAACTTCAGCCCCATGTACCAGGCTTGGCCCACCCAATCTCCCTGCCAACTCCCTCTCTTTTAGTCAAATAACACAAAAAAGGCTGGAGTCTGGCCCTACGTGTGACCTTGGGCAACTACCAACCCTTGAACCTTGACACTAATTCTGACCTTTCCCCCTATGTAGCTGTTTGGACCTTCTCTTCAGACACCATCAGAGGAGAGCCAGGCCCCTGAGGGCCTCTGGGGACATTGGGGCCCGTGGGCTGCCTGCTCCCAGCCCTGTGGGGTGGGGGTGCAGCGGAGGAGTCGAACATGTGAACTGCACCCAGGCCGAGCCCTCCCTCCCCGACCCCCAAGACATCCAGAAGCCCTCCAGCCCCCGGGTCAGAGCTCCAGACTCCAGGTTCCCCGGGGTCCCCAGTCCCTGCACAGGCCACAGCCTCAGGGAAGGGGTGGCCCTCTTCAAGGTCCTGCTTCTCATTTGGGGAGAGAGAAGACCCAAGAGACTCAAGGGGCCCGGAGGTGAGGGCAGAGGGGAACAGAGAGGGGCGGGGTATGGGAGGGGCAAGGGGGCCTCGCCTCTGCAGGCTGACCTCCTAGGACATGGACTGGGGAACACAGGCTAAGATATGACTCTGAGTTGGCACCATCCTCTCAGGTCCCGGGTTCGAGACCCTATCAAGCCAGGGATGTTTGGCTATGGGAAAGTGCCTTTTGCCTTGCCATTGCACCGGAGCCGCAGGCATCCCAGCAGACCTGAGCAACCCCAGAACTCTTCTACAGGGGCAGAGGCCCTTCCATCCCAGCCTCCAAGCACGGAACTGGCCTCTGCAAACTACAGTTCTCAAATGCAGCTTCCTGAACTGCATGCCCGCTCCCACTCCTCCCCAGCTGAAACCCCAAAGAAGACAGGAAGTACTCAGATAGAGGGGGCCCCAAAGACAGGAAGTACTCAGATAGAGGGGGCCCCTAGAAGCAGTCCCGCTCCCTCTGACACAAGGGTACCTTCACCCATGTCCTTCTTTGGAGACAGTAGGTCTTTCCAGGGATCTCCTGGGTCAAAAATGCCAACTTCCCAGGGTTGGAACAGCCCCCAGGGAGCAGATCGACACCCTCGCCCTTTCCCTTCTGTCCCCCGGAGTCGGGGCCAGCACAGCAGGGGGTCCTGGAGACCTCGAGGGAGTCCCCACAGATCCCCAGAAGGCTGGCTGCCTTTGACGAGAGACTCCAGGCCCCTCTGGAGCCTTTTTGCTCCCAGTAGCCCTGTTCCACAATGTTCTGGGGAAAACGAGCAGCTGAGAGCCTGCAGCCAGGAGGTGAGATCTTCTCTGGGCCCCTCGCCTGTGCCCGCAGCTTGTGCTAGGGGTGGTAGTTCTAATTTCAGGGCAGGAGCCTTGGTGTTCTGTGGAGATGACCCACCAGTCCCCAACCCCTAGCCCAGCCCTGCACCCCAACAGTTCCCTCTGCAGCACTAACGCCTGCCTGTGTGTCTGCCTCCTCAGCCTTGCCCCCCTGAGCAGCCAGATCCCAGGGCCCTGCAGTGTGCCGCCTTTGACTCCCAGGAATTCATGGGCCAGCTGTACCAATGGGAGCCCTTCACTGAAGGTGCAGTTTCTAGTCCCCATGGCAGGGCTGACTCAGGTTTGGGTGGCCTCTCTTCCTCCCGCATCCTAATTCTCCGGTCACATCAGAGACTCAGCACAAGCCTAGACAAGGGAAGAGCCTTCAGAGAGTGATGGGTGGGTGGGACAGGAGGCGGCCGGGAGAGGGGGCTCACTGGAGCCTTTGGGCTGTGGTCCGCAAGGGGTGTGGCTGTGACTGGTTCACTGGTCCCAGCAGAAAGCTACTATCTTCATGGTTTCATATCGGTTACTCCCACGTCCCTGGCCACTTGGACTTAGGCCTATGTCAGCTCGATACCAAGACAAACCCTCCTGGGTTATGAACTCATAATCACTGGTGTCAAGAGCCCTTTAGGGAAAGGTAGGATGGCTCAGTGGGTAAAGGAGCTTGTCTCAAGCCTAATGAGCCAAGTTTGGTCTCCAGACCATCATGGAAGGAGAGAACCTACTCTTGCAAGGTGTCTTCTGACTCCCACATGAGTACCCATTCCTATACACACTTAAAACAAGACGGCAACAACAACAAAGCACACATACACACACACACACACAGACAGACACATACAGACACACACACACCACCACCACCAACAACAAAAAACCAAAACCTTTTAGATGGCCAAGTGCAGAACTTCCTCCTTTCTAGGAGAACAAAGTGGGAGAATCCATAAAAAGCTTGAGACCACGTAACAAAACCAAAACATGAAAACCCTAAGCATGGGAAACTGCCCCTCCCCTTCTCCACAGCAATTTCAGGGTGCCCCACATGCAATAGGGCAGAATGCTGCCAGGCGCTGGGGTGCTGCCCCCTTCAGGGACCCCAGCTAACTGTCTTATTCCTCATCCCTTAGTTCAGGGTTCCCAGCGCTGTGAACTGAACTGCCGCCCCCGGGGGTTCCGATTCTATGTCCGTCACACCGAAAAGGTCCAGGATGGGACCCTCTGTCAGCCTGGATCCCTAGACATTTGTGTGGCAGGACACTGCCTGGTGAGGGAGGGCAGGGTGCTGGGGAGGGAGGGAGGGTGCTGGGGAGAGAGGGAGGGTGCTGGTTAGCACATGATCGTTCGTGCGCGCACACACACACACACACACACACACACACACACACACACACACACACACCTACTTGAATTCGTTATGACAACGGTGGAAAGACCAGCCTGAGGTGGCCAATGGGAAGGTTCTTGCTGTCTAGCAAGGGGTGTGTTTTAGCCAGGGTCCCACCGGACTTGGCTAGGCTTGGAGGAGCTCACAGAACATACTCTCACTTGTAGCAAAGAGCAAGGCAGCGGGTGAGCCAGTGTGGTAGGGCCAGCTGGGAGCTGTGCCTGGCTTTTGTGTGGCCCCTGCCTCACCTCGCTTTTCCCAGAGCCCCGGCTGTGATGGGATCCTTGGCTCTGGCAGGCGTCCAGATGGCTGTGGAGTCTGTGGTGGTGATGGCTCTACCTGCCGTCTGGTTTCGGGAAACCTCACTGATCGAGGAGGCCCCTTGGGCTACCAGAAGATATTGTGGATCCCTGCAGGAGCTTCTCATCTTCAGATTTCCCAGCTCCGACCCAGTTCCAATTACCTCGGTGAGAAACTGGACCTCAGCCCTAAGTCTCAGTCCATCCTGTTTCTTTGATCTGCCTTCCACACCCTCCTCAGCACAGCCAAAGGCCAAACAGGATGTTGGCCTTCTCCCAAGCCTGGTGGAGAGGATGAGGAAGGTGGATGGCTGAGATCCCCTAGGCTCTGAGCAGGTGGAAACTACACCACTGTCACTCAGCTCTGGTCTGTCTTTCAGCACTTCGAGGGCCTGGGGGCCGCTCCATTATCAACGGAAACTGGGCTGTGGATCCTCCAGGGTCCTACTCAGCCATCGGGACTGTCTTCCAGTATAACCGTCCTCCTCGGGAGGAAGGCAAGGGGGAGAGTCTGTCAGCTGAGGGCCCTACCACCCAGCCTGTAGACGTCTATGTGAGCCTGGGATGGGAGATGGGGTACTAGACAGAGAGGGAGGCCCGTTAGGGCAGAGCAGTAGTGGTCTAATAGGGGAGAAACCTGGTGTATGCACCAAACACTTGTTATTTTCTCTCCTCAGATGATCTTTCAAGAGGACAACCCAGGTGTTTTTTATCAGTATGTCATTGCTTTCCCTCCTGACGACCCAGAGAACCCTTCCACGAAGCCTCCAGCCCTCCAACTTCAGCCTGGTAAAACTAGGATCCTCAGACCCAGAAGAGGAGGGTGAGGCTGTGATGGGGCTCTGGGGTTGCAGGGAGGCTTCTGACCAGGCTCCTGGACTCCCCTGCAGAGATGCTGAGCGGGGAGGCCCTACTGGCTTCTGCTCCCCGCCCGGTTCGGGCACCAGGCACCCTCCAGCGGCAGGTACGGATCCCCCAAGTGCCTCACACCAGGACATCCCTGGGGACTGCAGCTGGATACTGGAAGCAGGTGGGACACTCTGAATGTTCAGCATCCTGTGGCAAAGGTGAGACTTAACGCCCGTCTTGCTGGCACCTCAGCCCGAATCCGTATTCCGTGTACCTATCTATCTAGGCTATCTCCTGGATCGTGGGTCTGAACTGGACCCTGTGTCTGGAACCTCCCTGGGACTGGGCTCTGAGCTCCTGACTCCCCTGGCTGCCCTCTTATTCCCTTCAGGTGTCTGGCGCCCCGTTTTCCTCTGCATCTCCCGTGAGTCAGGAGAGGAGTTGGATGAACAGAGCTGTGCCACGGGTGCCAGACCCCCAGCTTCCCCTGAACCCTGCCATGGGCCCCCGTGTCCCCCATAGTGAGTATGGCCCACAGGGAAGGTTAGATACTTAAAACACAATGGCCTTGGGCTTGCTCCTGCCCTCAGGTTCTTACCTGGACTCTAGCAATTTCATAGTTCCTGGCTGCAGAGATATCAGATTAGAAAGGTTGACCCCCTTCAACTGCTAGAAATATGCTCCAAGTGTGAAATATGCCCCCTCCCCTGAGGGTCTCCACCCCTTCCCATCTGCCCCACATATGCGCCCTCAGCTGGGAGGCTGGTGAGTGGACATCCTGCAGCCGATCCTGTGGCCCTGGCACCCAGCACCGCCAGCTGCTCTGCAGACAAGAATTTGGAGACGGTGGCTCCTCTGTGCCCCCAGAGCGTTGTGGACATCTCCCCAGGCCCAACATTACCCAGCCTTGTCAGCTGCACGTCTGTGGCCACTGGGAGATTAGCTCCCCCTGGAGCCAGGTGAGTGGGTGAAGGCGAGGGGGACCCTTGAGAAGTGGGCTCCAAAGAGCCAGGGAGTAACTTTTCCACTATTTTCTCTGTCATCAGAAACCTTGTAAACAAGACCTACGTGGAACCCCAATATTAGCCCGATCCCACCTTATCTAAGGTGGGATTGGCGTCCCAGAGCCCTGTCCTTGGCTCCCTCGGTCTGCAAAGCCCTGGTTATGTAGGAGGGCTGGAGGACGATGGCTGATGTCCAGCCTTTGTTCTCTTATCCTTCAGTGCTCTGTGCGCTGTGGTCGTGGTCAGAGGAGCCGGCAAGTTCGGTGCGTTGGAAGCAATGGCGATGTAGTGAGCAAACAGGAGTGCGCTTCGGGCGCCCCCGCACCGCCCAGCAGAGAGGCCTGTGACATGGGACCCTGTACCACAGCCTGGTTCTACAGTGACTGGAGTCCCAAGGTGGGTCCCACACTTCCGTGGGCAAGTCAGGCTTCCCTGGTAACCATGTCCCGGGCCACCCGGTCACAGCCTGTCCAAAACAGCTTGATAAACTTTTATTTTTCTTGACCTAGGAACTCAGAGATAAGTGAGAAAAACTTACATTCACACCTGTCATTTTAGTTCTTGGGAGGCTGATGTCAGAAAACTGGCTCAAGTACAAGGCCAGCCTGGACTACATAGTAAGTTCCAGGCCATATAAGCTGTAGTAAAACCTGCCTTAAAATAAATAAATAAATAAATAAATAAAGCAAGCAAGCAGGCTGGGTAAGGCAGTGCACACCTTTAATCCAGCTAGGGCAAGTGGATCTCTGTACAACAACAACAAAACCCAAAAAAGGGCTGGAGAGAGCTCAGGAGTTAAATCACTCCCTGCTCTTCTGGAGGTCCTGGGTTCAGTTCTCAGCACCCACACCAAGTGGTTCACAGCCACCATAACTACAGCTCTGGGAGATCTGGCACCCTCTTCTGGCCTCTGTGGGCATATATGGAATACACACACACACACACACACACACACACACACACACACACACACACACACTAACAAAGTAGAATAAGGTAAAGAGTACTTGCTGGGCAGGCCCAGCAACCTGAGTGAGGTCCCTGGGTGCAGCACACATCACACAGTGGCTGGGTGTGGTGGCGAACACCTTTAATCCCACTACTTAGGAGGCAAAGGCAAGAGGATCTTTGTGAGTTTGAGGACAACCTGGTCTGCACAGAGAGCTCCAAGACAGCCAGAACTACATGAGACCCTGATTATTAAAATAATAATAATGACCAAATACAGTGACAATAAAGTTTTATAGAAAAGTTAGGTGTGGTGTAGCTAAGTTGGTAGTGTATATATGAGCCCCCACTTTTTATCCTTAGTAACACATAAACCATGTGTAATGGCACACACTTGTAATTGCACCCAGGAGGATCAGAGATTCAAGGTTATCTCAGCTTCATACCAAGTTCGAGGCCAGTCTGGAAACCCAGCTGTCTGTGTCCTCTTCCAGACTGGTAGTCCAGGGCATTCCTGAACTCCCTGATGTGGGCCCTCCCCACCTTAGTTCCAGTCACCAGCAGCCTCCTTTCACACAGGCCACTCTCCCTCTCAACAGTGCTCAGCCGAGTGCGGCACAGGAATCCAGAGACGCTCTGTGGTCTGCCTTAGAAGTGGGGAGACCCTCCCGGAGGACCAGGAAGCAGGGACAGGAAGCACTGAGCAAGGTTGCCCTCTCAGAAGCCGCCCTCCTGACATGCGTGCCTGCAGCTTAGGGCCCTGCGAGAGGACATGGCGCTGGTACACAGGGCCCTGGAGTGAGGTCAGCTGAGGGCTGGGAGATGGGGGACAAGAGGGAAGTCAGTCCCAGTGAGTCCCACATCGGGAACTAAGAGTGCCCTCTCTATCCCCTCCCGTAAAGTGCTCCTCAGAGTGTGGGGCTGGCACACAGCACAGAGACATCATCTGTGTGTCCAAACTGGGAGCTGAGTTCAATGTGACGTCTCCCAGCAACTGTTCCCACCTCCCCAGGCCCCCTGCCCTGCAGCCCTGTCAGGGGCAGGCCTGTGAGGACCGATGGTTTTCTACTCTCTGGAGTCCGGTGAGTGCCCGGCTCCCTTGCCCTGCTCGGGCCTCCCTCTGACAAGAACGGCTGTTCTCAGTGCACTACCCGGAACAACTTGGCTGAGCTCTCACACCATCCCACTCCCTGTAGACTGGGGAGACTGGTGAACTCTCTCCATTTGGGATTTTATAATGTCCCACCACTACCTTTCAGAGAGGGAGGGGCTGGTCTGAGGAACAGCCTGGAAACTTTAGAGATCTGATCGGATGGCTGTGGTCTCCCCAGTGTTCTCGCTCCTGCCAGGGAGGCGTGCAGACGAGGGAAGTCCACTGCCTGAGTGCCAATCAGACTCTCAGCACCCGATGTCCTCCTCGCCTGCGACCTTCCAGGAAGCGGTCCTGTAACAGCCAACCCTGCAACCAGCGCCCTGGTACGGAGCTTCCCGGCCCACTCCCAGTAGAGGGGATTTAGCTGGAATGTGGACAGATGTGAGATGGGCTGGTGGGAATGGGTAACACACTTGAGAGGGATGATGTCAGTGCTGTCGTGTGCCACCACTGATCTGTCTTCAGATGACCAATGCACGGACAGCTCTCCACACTGCCCCCTGGTGGTCCAGGCCCGGCTCTGCGTCTACCCCTACTACACAGCTACCTGCTGCCGCTCTTGTGCCCACGTCCTGGAGCGGTCCCAGCCGGAGCCTGCCTGAAACCTGAACCGGCTACAAGGGAAGGTCCTTCATGGTTTTCTTATGCCACCACTGGTCACCCACTGACTGTCCCACGCTGTATCCTCTGGGGTGAGAGGACGAGGTGGCTGTTGACCTGCTGCCGGGTTTGTACTACAGTGTGACACCCTGGGGTGTGTACCTGACCTACCTGGGTGTGTGCCCCTGTATGTGTCACTTTCTTAAAAAGCAGACTGAGGAAGAATGGGGAGTGGGCAGCGCTTGTTTCCCGATGCCTTCTGGGCTGAGGAGGGACGAGGTTACAATGGTCTGGGCTATAGCATGTGCCCTGTAAGTTCCAGAGCAAGGACCAGTGTGAGAGGATGAAAAAGAGAGAAGTCAGCATTAAGACACCCTAGCGCGCCCCCCCCCACTTCACACCGGTGATGCCCATCCCAGAACTAATTTATTTTTTATTAAAGTTGATTGTGACAACGTCCTTCATTATCCTCATGAAGACCCTGCCATCTGAGCAGTGTGTGGGGAGGGGAGCACTTAGGGATGGGAGGAAGGTTAGTCCTCAGGGCTGTGGACTGCATCCGAGCCGCCTGGCCTGGCACAGAGGTGTGGATCGTATTCCACACCAGAACTGCAGATGGCTCACTGGCCACTAGAGGCCACTAACTCTCCCGGTTTAGGATCAGTGATGGGTGCTTGGATCCCGGCAGTGTCTGTGGTGGGCTTTGGGGTAGGTTCTTCCGGTGGGTGGGTGGGTGGGCTCTAGGAACCAGCAGGACTTTTCAGTTCAGGGCCAGGCTGGCTGGCTGAGTGTATGTGTGTGTAGGGGTCACCTTTCAGGTCCTCTCACCTGGGCCTTTACCCACTTCCGTGTTCAATACTTGGCTTACTGCTTCCTTCCCATGGGTGCTGTGGCTGTGACATCGACCCTGAGCCCAGCCTGGGTCTCTGGGACTTCAGGAGGAGGACGGAGGAGGGCCATGGCAATACCGGATATCTTGCCAGAGACATTCCTTAGTGATGTCTCACTAGGTCCTCCTTCCTCCTCCCCCTCCCTGTGTTCCTTTCAAAGTAAATAACTTGCTAAGGTGGCGTGTAAGGCGGCCTTTTCCATACTGCAAACCGCTCCCTGACCCCTACAGTGCTGAGGTCCGAGTTCTTGCTTCTGCAGGTGGTTCCGTCCCTGCCTCTCCAACAAGCTGAGCTTGGCTATTAGCAGAGGCCTGCAGACAGTTTCACCCGGTGACTACTGTTTTCTGATCATGTCTAGATTCCCTATTAGTAGGGCCTTCTACTGTAGCAAAGCCCCTTAGTTCATGCCCTTGGGACTCAGGCTGCCTTGGGCTGTATGCGGCTGAGCAGACAGCATCGGGTGTGGAAGGAGGGGGAGGAAACGGAGCCACAGTGACTCCAGCACTCTCGAGGCTGAGGCCAGCCTGGGCTACACTGTGAGACTGTCTCAAAAGACCACCAGTGGGGTGGGGTGGGTGCTGACTTCTGGTCCAAGGCAGGGCTTAAGCAAGGAGGCTACAAGAATGTCCTGCCTCAGCTGGCCAGGAGGTACTGAGTACTGAGGCATGCCTGTAATTCCAGCACTCAGGAGGCAAAGGCAGAGACAGGTGGATCTCTGTGAGTTCAAGGCCAGTAGACAGCTAGTTCCAGGATGGCTAGGGCTACACAAAGAAACCCTGTCTGGAAAAAACAAAAGAACATCCTGCTCTGAAGAGATGCCAGATGTGTTTCTTTCTCTGGTGAGCCTGGAAGGGAAGTCAAAGATGCAGGCCCACGGAAGTGGGGCCCAGGAACCAGACTATAGTCCCAGGCGGTGAAGGCAGAGACAGGCAAGGGAGGGTGGCTGTGGTCCCAGGCCCTCCCGTCAGTTCCTGGAAGCGGGGCTGGCTGGGGTGGAGGCCACAGCTCAGCTGACTTCCCCTCCCTTTTCAGGCCTCTTAGGGCTGTTGCTGGGCAGGTTCAGAGTTTGGTGTGGACTTGACAGCCAATCACAGTTGGAGTATACAGCCACAAGCCCTGTAGGGTTCCCCCAACATCATGAGCACCTTTCTTTTTCTGATAGCCCCTGAGCTTGCAGCCTCCAGCCTTTACTCTGGGGGAGGGGAGGTGCTGCCCTCTTCTTCCTCATTGTAAAGAGCAGCGTCCTTGCAGCCCCTAAGGATTGTCCTCTGGTCACTGAGAGCAGTATGCCTGGGAAAGGAAGCCTGACTTACAGCAACCTTTTCCCTTGGAGCCCCAGAAGGAGCAGTGTGGCCAGACACTGCTTTGCTGACCTCTGGAGCCCCGGAGGGTCTAAGGAAGTTAAAACACAAAGAGCAGACTGCTGTGGTGAAGCCCCTGGTTGTGATGCAGGAGGGGAAATTTAGGGAAGGACTTAAGAGGAACTGGACCCGTGAGACAAGGTGGGGGTGGTGGGGATAGCAGCCAATGACATGCACAGAGAGCTCAAGCATGCAGAGGCAAGGCATGCCTCCCAGTCCTCATTGCTGCATGCCTGCTGGGGGGGAGGAGCTGGTTCTAGAATACCAGCTCAGCTCAGCTGTGCTGGGGCTCAGCTGGGTGAGAGTTTACTTTGCATGCATGAAGTCCTGGGTAATGCATTATTTTTTTAAAGCTCCAGTGGGTAGGGATTCCCCTCCCCCTTACTTCAACCTCCTGGGTAAATACCCACTCATTCTAAGCTGCAGCCTTTCTCCTAAGTTTATTGACCAGACTTCCCCGCCCCGCTAGGCCACCCTGTAAGCAGGTGGACACAGCTGTAAAGGAGCGCCTGATGGAGTTTCAACACTCCCTCCTTGTCCACTCATGGAGACTCCACTTTCTGGTCAGGAGGGGAGTAGAGCACAACATATCAGGCTGCTGCCCAGTGCCTGAGTGTCTGCTACAAGCGTCTCCTTCAGGAAACCCATAGGACTAGAGCTGAGGGCCAAGTGGTCATTAAAGCTCAAGGATGTGGGTGGAGAACCAAACTCAGGAGCCACAGCTGCCTCCTGGGTTCTCTCCAGTTGGTCTGCAGCTCTGGCTTGCTTGTCTGGTTCGTGCCGATCTTCCTTTCCTGTGCCTCTTAAGTGCTGGCCAGGCGCCACCATGCCAACGCCAACGTTTTACAGACTTTGCTTTCTCCTCTCTCACCCATGCTCCGAAGCAGGGGCCTTCTCTTGCAGCCAGGGAGCTAGAGCAGTCTGTGGAGATCTGAGTGGAAGCAGGGTCCCCCTACAAACCCACCGTCTCTGGGCTGAGTGGGGGTGTCTTAGTAGAGGGTTGCTTGTCGCAGGAAGGTGAGAGAAAAGCACCTTTGTACAGGAAGTAGAAAGTCTCAGGAAAGTACCTAAGTCTACAAGAGACAAACAGTTTGGGTTAACCTCAGCGCCAGTCACCAATCTGAGTTTCGGCTCCTTTACGGGGGAGGGGGGGGGGGCTTCAAAAGAGGGAGTTTCGGGGCTGAGGCTGGAAGGTGGGTAGCAATGGAGATGCAGCAATTAGCTGGCAGGTAATATTAGCTATATCTGCTTAAGATGGTGCCGAAGCCAGAGCTGGGCATGCTGTACAACTTTGCACCAACACTTGAGGTTTATTATCAAGAGTTCCAGGCCACCCTGGGCTACAGAATGAGACCCTCCCCTTCACTCCACCCTTGCAAGAGTAAAACAGATCAGGGCATTCATTTCCTGAGAACTAAAACCTGTTGGTTCAGCTGTGAAGGACCCACCCAGCACCCCACCCCCACAGTTTGTGTGTGTGGGACATTCAGAGCATTCAAGCACCACTGAAGTCAGGGAACAACTTTTTAACCACACGAATCCAGGGACCCCAACTCGAGTGCCTTTACCTGCTGAGCTGAGCAATCCTGCTGGTTTCACATTAGATTCCTCTAGGCTTCGCCATAATAGAGCAGCAAACTATATATATGCCTGAATCCTTACGCTAAAGGAAAGGTGTAGCATGGGAGGTGTTGTGTCCATCTGCCCCTGAATTACCTTTCTTGCTCTTACAGCTCAACTACCCTGCCCTCCCTAGGACCGATCACTGGCTGTTCACCTGTCTTGCTGTTTTTATCTATGTGCATTGGTGTTTTGCCTGCATGTATGTCTATGTGAAGGTATTGGATCCTCTGGGAGTTACAGATAGTTGTGAGCTGCCATATGGGTGCTGGGAGTTGAACTCTGGAGGGGCAGCCAGCTCCGTTTTGTTTTGTTTTGTTATTTGTGTGTGTATGTGTGTGTTTTGTTTTTTCCCCCCAGGAGACAGGGTTTCTCTGTATTACTCTGGAGCCTGTCCTGGAACTTGCTCTGTAGACCAGGCTGGCCTCAAAATCACACAGATCTGCCTGCCTCTGCCTCCCAAGTTCTGGGATTAAAGGTGAGCCACCAATGCCTGGCTTTGTTTTTTAAGACAGTGTTTCTCCATGTAGCCCTGGCTGTCCTAGAACTTGCTTTATAGACCAGGCTGGCCTCGAACTCAGAAATTCCCTGTCTCTGCCTGCCAAGTGCTGGGATTAAAGGCAGGTGTGCACCAGTTGTTTTGGAGACAAGGGTTCTTACCGCTTAAGTAATACTTAAGTCCAGATCGCCAGATCCTTCTGCTTCCACCTCCCAAGTGCTGAGATTACAGACATGTGCCACCATGCTTAGCCTTTCTCTCAAAATGAGACTTGTTTTTAGTGCAGTCCAAGCAAGGTTGAGCAATCTCTTCTCTATCTAACTAGATGGTCAATCGTAGGTTTTGCAGGCTGCACCTCTGTGTGCTGCACTACGAGAGTGACCAGCAGTAATACATGAGCGAAGCTGTGTTCCCACTACAAGTTAGGACACTGGGACTTTCAACTTCGTAATATTTCAACACATCACACAATAGTTTTCTGACTTTATTAACCACTTAAAACTGCAAGACAGGCTATCAAGTTGGCTGAGTAGGTGACAGGCATGTGTCACCATGACTGATGCCAAGATGGACTCCTGGGATCAACACCTACAAGTTATCTTTTGACCTTCACACCTGAGCCTCTCCCCTACCTCCAAGTTAGATGGTTCGGTGAGTGATGGTGCTGCCTGTTGCCATGCATGACTACTGGAGTTTGATTCCTGGATCCCACAGGGTAGGAGAGAGCTGACTCCTGAAGGCTGACCTCTGTTCTCTACCTGTGTGATGGGGCACATAGGTGTCTCCACTGATAGACACAAAATAAATGTAATAATTATTTAATTAGTAAGATTTAAAAGTGCAAGCCAGGTGTTGATGGTACATGCTGCATGCATGCTTGTAGTCCCAGGATTTGGTAGGTAGGGGCAGGCTAAAGACCAGAACTCAAGATTATTATTATTGTAAGCAATAAGAATATGGACTCCAGCCAGGTGGCGGTTGTGGCATACCCCTTTAATCCCAGTACGCAGGAGGCAGAGGCAAGTGGATCTCTGAGTTAGAGGCCAGCCTCGTCTACAAAGGGAGTTCCAGGACAACTAGGGCTGAA